CGGGAGGGGGGCAATAGAGTTTCCCTGGTGTTGGCCAGAGTGGCCACCAGGGAAACCTGGGGAGGGCTAGCCTCCCACTAGTTCGAATTAAGGGGCTACACAGCCCTTAATTCGATCTAGCTAGTTCGAACTAGGCTTAATCCTCGTAAAATGAGGATTACCTAGTTCGAACTAAGCGCTCCGCTGTTCGAATTAAGTTCGAACTAGCGAAGCGCTAGTGAAGCGCCTATGAAAGTTAGTTCGAACTAACGTCCGTTAGTTCGAACTAACTCTGTAGTGTAGACATACCCTTTGTCAGTTGTCACTGAGGGTTTATAGGTCATAGATCATGTAGGTACATGAGGTCCAAGCATGGGTTCAATGATGGAAATGACTGCAATGTCTCTTTCAGTATTGCATTTCCATGAGTGTGCTTTTATTCACTCATAGTAGTGGCATTACCAGGGCTGTGTCTAGACTCAGGGGTTTTTTCGGGAAAAGTAGTCTTTTCCCGAAAAAACTTCCCCTGCGTCCAGACTCAAGCCACGTTCTTTAGAAATAATTTCGAAAGAACGCGGCTTTTCTTTCGATGGCGGTAAACCTCGTTTCATGAGGAAGAACGCCTTCTTTCGAAAGTTCCACTTTCGAAAGAAAGCGTTCTTCAATGTAAATAGGGCTTCCTCGAAAGAGAGCATCCAGACTCGCTGGGTGCTCTCTTTCGAAAAAGCGGATTGCTCTTTCGAAAGATCCGCCTACAGTCTAGACGCGATCTTTCGAAAGAAGCCTGCAGTCTAGACATAGCCCAGAAGAACTGACTGTAGCAGTCCACACTTGGTCAGAGTGCCCACAAGTATGTAAACTGGTTGAGGAACTGCTCACATTTCAGTCCATGTCAGGCAAATTGGCAACAAATATACCTACCCACAGTTAGACCATCATCACAACTCACCACAAAAAGTGGTGATTCATTCTTTCTGGCATATTTCAATAATAGGTGTGTTTTTGTTTTGTTCTGTTGTTGTTTTTTTTGTCTAAGTGATTGTTGTTTCTTTACCTCTACCCATAAACTGAAGCTAATGTTCAGCAAAGTGGTTTATTATTTACTAAAGTGATTCTGATCCTTTATCTTCCAAATGCTGTTTATTTCTAGAAAGTTGATATGAACACCTTCCCACTGCCTTCTCTTCTATATTGTATTCAGTTACTAAAATCACTGTGGCTTACAAGTAAAGCTACTATGTTAAAAAGTCCATAAGGAGACCTTTAGCAAATAATCAGATCTAATATAAAGATATTATTCACATATTAACTTGTGTGCTTATTTATTCATTTATTTTAGAGGATTAAGGTGAAGCTAGAGAGAGAGGGTGATGAATTCACCTCATATAACTGTGCTTCTTTGGGCTCACCTTCCAAAAAAGAAAAGAGAGGGGAGGAGTCACAAGAATGTATTTCTTGTTCATTATCACTATGCTAGGTACTACATCAGTTTAATTAAATGAAATGTATGAATCTTGTATTGTCATAGGGTAATGAGGGTTCTCTTGGAAAGCCTGGACCACCTGGACCTCCTGTAAGTCATTTATTTCATAGTTTGAATAATATATTTTGATAATTTGTCTAGAGATGTGATGGATTCTCCAAGCTCTTGAATCAACATTGGATGTCTGTCTAAATCTAAAAGATATGCAATAGCTCAAGCAGAAATGTGAGGACTTGGTCCAGAAAGTTTTGGGGGAAGTTCTATGGATAGTTTTGTGCAGGAGGAAAGATTAATGATCGTAATGGCCCTACTAGCTCAAACTCCCATTGATACGAGTAGCCAAGATTTCAATCTCTGGAAAATAATATGAGAAATTTTCTCGGTAAAGCCCCCTTCCTAAAATATTTCTGTTTTGAAAAGATGAACTACAATAAAATAAAAATGTTTTAAGAATATGACAGGCTACTGTGGAGAAGATATACTGAAAATAATATGAGAGAGAGATTCTTTCTCAACAAACTTAGAGGCAAGGTTCAGGGTCCAGGTTATACATGGAGTCTTGTACAGCCAATGAGTTGTTATAGTGTCTGAATATGTGACCATTCCCTGTTCTCTGCCATTCCCTTGTTCTCCCCATCCACAGCTGTGACTGTTCTGCTGCAGCCTCCTGGTTTCACCAATAAAGCATGTGAAAGTAAAACCTGCCTTTTTTTGTTTTGCATGATAAAACTTCACATTTTAAACTCTTCTGAACTTAGTAAATTTCTCTTATGCTGAAAACACATAGTAGTTCAAATGCAAATTGATTTCAGGTCTGAAAAGGTGCATGTCATCTTTGGTCTTCGCTTTGTCATTTTTCCATTTTTTATGCATAAATTTTATAAATCTCCATATATGAAAAAGATTACATCCATATTTCCTACCTTCACCTTAAATATCCAGTGAATGGCATTTGAAATAATATAAATATATTTCCAGAAGCAAGAGTTTCATCCATTCGTATCTTGAATGTGCTTGTGTTAACTCATGCTTTTTGGGCTGTAAACATTTAGCATAAATAGTTCAGCTATTGAGTTTTATTGAATACATAATTTTTCTCCTGAATTTATTAGTGTCTCATCTGTCAAATCTGAGCATTATTTCAAAGTTATAGTACAAGCCTCTGTATTCTTGGGATACTTGAAGCCTGACTCAAATGCTTTGCAGTTTTCATTTAAAATGTAACTTTTTAAGGTGATAAGAAACTAAATGTACAATACTTTGCATTCCTTTACCCACATCATTTGGCCAGTCACATAAATGGCTTGGCAATTTTATATAGCAAAAGTTATACAATTACCTTAGGATTCATGAGCCTTCATTTTTATAAAATGATAAAAGGCCCAATCTTCTATTCATCATAAATCCCAAACTCAAACTGACTTCCCTGGAGTTTTTGCAGGACAGACCTGTCACAGGTTGGGAAGCTGCACCTATATTTCCCCCTTATAAGGTGCCACAAAGGCGTCCATCTTGGGCTTCCAGCTGCCGTTACTACTCTGGGCATAGACAGGTATCTCTGCCTTCTCACCATGGTAATTTCAGGCCGCACCACGACTACAAAAAAGGCTGTGGCCAGAGAGTAGTTTTTAACACCCTACAAAGGGTTTATTCTGTGGTCACAAGTTTATAACAGCAGTTAGCTAAGAACAAACACACATATTGGGCCATGTCCTTCCAAGGATTGGAACTTACCCCTTTTGGACAGAAGGTTTTGTTTGTTCAATGAATCAGAAATAATGGGCTGAATCCGTTTTAAGTCTTTTTTTATTGCCCCCCTGAGAATCCAGTTTGAACCAGGATTTATGAATCTCTCTAAAGGTGGCGGTAGCTCTCTAGAGGTGGTAGAACCTTAGAGAATTTATCTAACCACCCCACACTGTTCTTAGGTCCTGTAGAGTAGAGCTCTGCTTCCCCTCTCACTCCCTCCCCCATAGAATTATACATAGTTCCTGGCCTACAAAGATAATAAACTTAATTCAATAAGGTTTGACCATGATATTTCAGGTAGTTGCCTTGCCTGTCACAAGACCCATTAACAGAAATGGTACTTCAGCTTTATTGTGAACTAAAAATCCAAATGATGAAAGGCAGTATTGCCATTGATTTTTGGAATATTTTCTGAATATTTTCATATTTTTAGGGTATGTCTTACAATGAAAGGAATGGAATGAGCAGCTTATATAAGCTACAGGTATTTTTCTTTATTACATTATTTAACATTTTTCCTGATTACTACTTTATGGAACAAATAAAAATGTAGACTTTTCTCTTTCCAGGGAGGTGTAAGTGTTGCTAGTTATCCTGGCCCACCGGGCCCTCCTGTAAGTAATTTATAATTATCATCTGTAGCATTTACTTTAAAACATAGAAATCTTCATATTTTGCATGCAATTTGTTCCTTAGCTGGAAACAGAAGACTTTGCATCTGAAAAGTAGCAATAAAAACCAAAATAGGACATAACTGATACACATTAATTATAAAACACACATTTTGTAAGTATGCCTGACAAACATCCTAACATATACTGGGAGGATTTTAATTTAAATATTGAGAATTACAATGCTGGGTTTTGCTGGATAGTTTTTAAAAATGCCAGCACCCTGAATTAAATTAATAGGATTACCCCTGTGAGTAAGTGCAGTTAACTACAAATATAGGTTGAAGAACTGGGGGTATGTCTACACTTGCCCCCTAGTTCGAACTTGGGAGGCAAATGAAGCGTACCAAAGTTGCTAATGAAGTGTGGGATTTAAATATCCCGCTCTTGATTAGCATATTCGCGGCCTTGCCATTTTAAAAAAGCCGGTAGCACGAATTAACTCGCCGCATGTAGACACAGTAGTCCGATCCAAAACCCTTTCCTCGAATTAACTGTTACTCTTCATTGCACGAGAAGTAACAGTTAATTCGAGGGAAAGGTTTTGGATCGGACTACCGTGTCTACACACGGCGAGTTAATTTAGGCTACCGGATTTTTAAAATGGCGACTGGCCGCGAATATGCTAATCAAGTGCGGGATATTTAAATCCCGCGCTTCATTAGCAACTTTGGTATGCTTCATTTGCCTCCCAAGTTCGAACTAGGGGGCAAGTGTAGACATACCCAGGGCGATTTTTGAAGACCAAAATAATTAAATCTTGGACTATGTATTGTAGTAATATCATAATTCTTAAAACACAGTGCACTTTTTGTCTTTAGAGGCAGTGTTGTGTAGTAGTGCATTAAATTTGATGCTGAAAATGAGGAGCTGACACTGACTCACTGCATAGCTTTGCACAAGTCTCTTAGGGTATGTCTACACTACCCTCCTAGTTCGAACTAGGAGGGTAGTGTAGACATACCCTAAGAGACTTGTGCAAAGCTATGCAGTGAGTCAGTGTCAGCTCCTCATTTTCAGCATCAAATACCCTGCTAGTTCGAACTAGCAGGGTAGTGTAGACATACCCTCACTTCTTCAAATGCTTTCTCATGTCTATTCCACACTAGATGTGTATTCACCACATGTACCAGTGCTGGAAGTTTTTCCCTTAGCAGTATCTACTTCACCACATGTACCAGTGCTGGAAGTTTTTCTCTTAGCAGTATCTAGAGGGGAGCAGCTCTGGTGACCTCTGGAGTGGCACCCTCATAGGGCGGAATAAGCAGTGTCACCCTCCAAGGTTTTAAGTCATGTGATTGCTCTAAGCACCTCATGGCCATCAGCGATCTTCATATCTTCTGATGGGACAAATTAAAACCCATGGGCCCTACAGTCTGGCTCCTACCAGGCAGCAAGATTAGGACAAATTTGCCAGAAGGAGCCAGCCCAACACCCAGGCACTGTGGCAAGCAAGTGCAGCTGGTGATCTACCCATCCTGGGAGGCTAGAGGGTGGGGTGCATGAGCCAACTGTGATCCTGCAAGAGCTGGTTCAGATGGTTGGAAAGGGACCAGGGAAAAGTCACTGCCATGGTCATGAGCGTACCAAACCAAGCATGACAATCATGCTCAGTCCCTCTAGATTTTTACCAGGACCCATTCCTCTTACACATACTCTTGGACTATGGAGCCAGAAAACCATATGGCTAGTGCCTTTGTGATGTTACAGCCATAGGCAGGCTGGGCATAATCATTTGGGCAGCTGTGTGGCCACTGAAGAACTGCTTTCCCCTTTGGGATATCATTTGCACTTTGTGACACAGAATCAAGCAAGGCCACAGAGATATGCCCTGCTTTTCCCTATAGAATAATACACAATTTGATTTGACCCACATTTAACAAAATAAGATTGCTGGTAGTAGAGATTCACTACACTACCATGTTGATACAATTGTTATATATTTATATTGTAGTAGCATTAAAGACATCACACTCTTATCTAATTGTGTTCAGTTAATTCCTAGTACCTTTGTTACTCTTTCTTGGCAGGGTCCAAAAGGTGATCCTGGCACTATGGTATGTATATTTTATTGGAAGGTGTCCTTTCTGGCATACTGATAAGTGTGTCTTCATGAACTGGGATGTGAGGATGATGATGATCATAGGATCATAGAACACTAGAACCTCGAGAGGTCATCAAGTCTAGTCCCCTGCCCTCACGGCAGGACCCAGTACCATCTAGACGATCCCTGATAGATGTCTCTAACTTTCCCAGAAATATCTCCAGAGATGGAGATTCCACAACCTCCCTAGGCAACTTATTCCAGTGTTTAACCACCCTGACAGTTAGGAAGTTTTTCCTAATGTCCAACCTAAACCTCTCTTGCTGCAGTTTAAGCCCATTGCTTCTTGTCCTATTCTCAGAGTCAAGGAGAACAATTTGTCTCCCTCCTTCTTGTGACACCCTTTTAGATACCTCAAAACCGCTATCATGTCCCCTCTCAGTCTTATGATAATAAGGAGTGGGGTTACTACCAGGGAACTGATGTCTTTATAGATCATCAGAAGAGCCCCTCACAAAGCTCAAGTATGACCCTAACAATTTGAGTGGCACAGTCCAAGTAATCTCCTTAACCAGAAAGTTAATCTATGAATACATTTAAGAAAACTTATTTTATAACCTAGGCTAAAGAAACGTAATACTTGGGGTACATAGTTTTCTTTTTAAAGCTGTCAATATTGTGTTGGGTGATACATTATAAAAGCTGTTTAGTAATCCATACAGGCATTTAAGTATACACATGAAGAATGTTTATTATTTCAAGAGATGAAATCACTATGGACACATCTACAAAGCAGGTTTAAACTCCAAATAAGCTATGCAACTTGAGCTACACTAATTGCGCTAATTGCTTTTGGTGCTGCCTACACAGATGTTATTTCAAGAAAGAGCACTCTTCCCCTGACTTCCCTTACTCCTCGTACAATGAGGGTTACAGGAGTCGGAGGAAGTGGAACTCTAGCTCAACATTATTTCGACATTATGTCTAAAGAACTGCTTGCATGTTGACGCGAACTATGCTATTGCAGAATAACTGATGTTATTCATGTAGAAATAGCCTACGTGAAGCAGGCCCACCAGAAATAAAGATGGAAATGTTTTAATTTTGAGCCAAGTGCATTAACATATAAAGTTGAAGTTGCTCATAGGAGGTGATTACATTATACCAACATTAGGTAACCAGATGAATATTTTTTTCTTAGGGAACAGTGCATTGATAGGTTAATGCTCAAAAGTAATTAGAATGTGATAAGGTTTTCTGTAGCTGCCAAGAAGCTGATAATTGGAGCATCACAACTGTATAGCTACACATTCAAAATCTATCATGAAAAAAGCCAATTCACGGAATGCTTTGCTGTTTCTCCTCAAAGATTGCAGTCAGCCCTTTTCACATAATCTTTATATTTCATATATTTACAATTTTAAAGTACATAGAAAAGCTTTGTAATGCCCAGGTTTTTATAGGTATTACCAGGGAATACTTTTCAATTTTAATATGGAGTTTTCTAATAGCGTTTCATTCAAAAATGGACATTTACCACTCACAGCAGTTAATTTACCACAGTATTCATTATTTTCTAAGTGTAAGGAATGTCACAAATATCACGGTCATGAGGACAAAGCAGCACAAACATACAATTATAGGTATGAACCATTGCAGAAAAGGAGGCAAAATGGCCCTTCTGTTCCTCCACATTCAGTATGGCAGAATCATAGCCAGACAAGCTATTTTGCATAGTATACTGGCTAATGAACTCAGACTGCCTAGCCCAGACATAAGTTCTCAGAATCAACTACTGTGGACAGCATCTTTCACTGAAAAGTTCAATAGAATGTTTATAAAGCCCAACAGGAAAGAAAGTTGTATTATCCAGCCTACCACCTGTGGTTGAGTTGAAGCTATCACTTTGGACAGACTCAAATCAGCTTCTGATGACAGTTCAAGGCTTTGGCCCTAATTTTCAAAGCAATTAATGGATGGAGCCTTAGCTATATCATAGACCAAATGTTGGTATTTAAACCCATGTGATATCTGTCCTTCTCTAGAATAGTACAGGTTATAAAGCACAGGCTCAAGTATGAGAAAGCTAGGAACAAAGCATTCCCTGTCAAGGAGCTGTTGGTAAGGAACAACCTTCCAGAAGAGATTGGGCAAATCCAGAGTTTACACATTCCTAGGGAGAATAGGCTTTACTTAGGAAACAGATTTTTGCTCTCAATCCCCCAGACACATCTGTTTTTTACAGTCAAAAGGAGAATTCTAGAATAATCTTGCAACCCATGTTACCTCTCTAATGGACAACATACATTCAAACCGGAGAATTCTAGAATAATCTTGCAACCCATGTTGTCTCTAATGGACAACATACATTCAAACATCTCACTTTGTCTGGTAGTGATTTAGTGCTGACCTTGATCAAGTAGATAGACCACAGGGGATTCTCTCCTGCAAGTTCTTAATCAAGATTGGGAAAAAAAAGAATCAGAAAATTAACCTCTACTTGCTCTGGGAATAGTTCTGATTCTCAGGTCAACAACATACAGCAAAAGCTCAAAATAAATAGAATATTTAGCTAATTGTTACATTATCTCAAGTTGAATGCTTTTATTTTCTATATTACTATATTCTATATTACTTTGTATGTCATTCAGAATGCAGACACTAAGCAACACTTTTTTAAAAAACAGGGAGAACCAGGTCCAATGGGACTTCCTGGACTCGAGGGAGTCCGAGGAGAAAAGGTAGGTCTTCATTAAAGACAAATTCCTTGCTTTTTTCCACTAGAATTGCTGCATTTTATATATCTAAAGTGTTTATTGGCAGGCAAATGTTTCCTTCAATTAAAAGTCTGTTCTCTTGTTAATGGTATCTATCTAAGCAGAATGTTTGGTGCAAAATTGTGTCTGCATATGTAGAATTGTATACCTACCTGTATTTCATTTTCTGTTCAAACTCTGGTCTAAGTAATACAGTTCAAATAAATCCACTTTTCCAGGAATAACTATAGTTGTGTGTTGTCAGCCTTCCATCCATTACATCATCTTAATCTAATCTAGTTATGCTGTCCCATTATAAATGCATTTCTGAGGCAGAGAACCCACCTGAAAGCGCAATAGGCAAGTACTGTAACCATCAGACTGCCTGCATTGCATGACTTCTATAAAGAAAGCTAATTCAAATTAGACCAAAAATGTATGTAAGCAAAGTGGACCAAATCCAGAGAGTTGGATTGCAAATTCTAATGGGCTCAGTCCTGCTCCTAATAAAGCTAAAGGCAACTCTTGCCTGGTAAAATTTAATCTGCTATTTTTAAATTTGTGAATTGTAACCATTTTTATGTAGTACTGGGTAACGAACAGGAAGAAGTAACAAACAGGAAGAACTGGAGGCCTTGGCCCAGTCCAACAACTACGATTTGATTGGGAAAACAGAGACTTGGTGGGATGATTTTCATGACTGGAGCACTGTTATGGAAGGGAATAAACTGTTCAGGAAGAACAGGCAGGAGAGAAAAGGAGAAGGAGTGTCACTTTAAGTAAGAGAGCACTATGATTGCTCAGAACTCTAGTATATAGAGGGAGAAAAGCCTGTTGAGAGTCTGTGGATCAAGTTTAGAGGTGTAAGCAACAGCAGTGATGTTGTGATTGGTGTCTGCTACAGGCTGCCGAATCAGGTGGATGAGATAGATGAGACTTTCTTTGGACAACTGAAAGAAGTTTCCAGATCGCAGGCCCTGGTTCTCACGGGGGACTTTAATAACCCTGACATCTGTTGGCAGACCAATCCGGCAGCACACAGACAATCCAGGAAGTTTTTGGAGAACGCTGGGGATAATTTCTTGGTAAAAGTGCTGCAGGATCTGACCAGAGACTGTGTGCAGCTTGACCTGCTGCTCACAAACAGGGAGGAGCTAATAGAGGAAGTAGAGGTGGATAACAACCTGGGAAGCAGTGATCATGAGATTTTAGATTTCAGGATCCTGACCAAAGGAATAAAGTAGAGTAGTAAAATACACACGTTGAACTTCAGAAAAGCAGACTTTGACTCCCTCAGGGTATGTCTAGACTACAGGGTTTTGTCGACAGAAGTTTTGTCGACAGATACTGTCGACAAAGCTTCTGTCGACAAAGAGCGTCTAGACTACATCCAGTTCTGTCGACAAAGCAAGCCGCTTTGTCGACATAACAGTGTGGACGCAAAGGACAGTGCAGATGCAATAATGCCTTCTA